TGGAGACTGTTTCTTTGATGGGAAGTTGACAGCCCTCTGTGTCTGCAAACATTCCTCTTTACTAAAGTCATTTTGGGAAGAAACAAAAAATAACAGATTAAACAATGTTTTCTCCATACAAATATGAAGGTAGCTGGTGAAGTCAGGTGTTGGCTGGACTTTAGACAGAAAAGAAAGCCTGTTCTTAGTAGGCATTTAGATTAACAAGCCATCCAAAGAATAAATCTCTTTTATAACTTTGCATTGAGAAGCTGAGTCAATTCTTTGATGCAAAGCCCTATTCCCAAAATAGTTGAGATGGACATGCTAGGAGCCTACAATGGCAGATGTCAAGTGTGTGTCTGTGTCTGTGTGTGTATGTTATGGACTGAATTGTGTATCCCCAAAATATGTATTTAAGTTCCTGCTCCTATACCTGTGGATATGATTCTGTTCGGAAATAGGGTAAGTCCTAAGCTTAATCACTTCTGAGTTATAAATAGAGCAGAATAGACATAGAGATGCACAAAGGGGGAAGACAGATGCACGGAACACAAAAGAATGTCAAGGAATTCCAGGAGCTACTGACAAGGAAGGATTTCCTCATAGAGCTACGCCCTGAACTTGGACTTCTATACTTCTGAGCTGTGAGAAAATAAATTCTTGTGCTTTAAAGGCACCAACTTTGTAATAGCAGCACTGGGTAACTAAGACAGTGTGTGTGTAATAGAGATAGAGATAGAGAACTACATACATATATGTATTTAGAGAGAGCCAGAGTGGGCAAGACAGCAGTAAACATTTGAGACAAGGATTGCAGACATTGTAGATGTGGCGTATGAAAGAGAATTTTGTTCACTAGCACTGCACTTAGTAGGTCAGTAGATATTTGTGGCCTGAACTTGAAATATTCTAAAAGGACTTTTTGACCTTGAAGAGTCTATTAACAGAGCAAAGGGGAGATAGTAGCCCTTTGGATATAGTATTCATACAACCATACAATCTCTGAAGAATATCAGGTGAGCCCTCTATTTGCTGTTATAAGAAGAAATAGAAATAAAATTCAACTTGTATTTACTGCTGGAGCCCTGGTGATGTAGTGGTTAAGAGCTCGGCTGCTAACTAAAGGGCCGGCAGTTCGAATCCACCAGCTGCTCCTTGGAAACCCTATGGGGCAGTTCTATTCTGTCCTATAGGGTCACTATGAGTCGGAATAGACTCGATGGCAATGGGTTTGGTTTGGTTTGGGTTTAGTACTAAGGTAACTGCAGATGGAACGAACATTTGCTGACGATGAAAACTTGCTGAAAAAAAACTAGAGCTTGACTGACACCATCTCTTATAAAGCCCTGACCAGAATGATCATGCATATTTCTGATGCTCAAACTGCATTGATTCTATCATCAGTAGAAAGACACACATTTCAGCAAATGCTTCCCTCAATATTTAAAGGTTATAGTGGACATGGAAAAAGTTTACTTTTGTTAGTACAGCACATAATCCATGCTGCAGACACCTGTTATTTTGTTCTATGAGTCAAGGATCTTTTGATTGAAGGTGATAGAAATTCAAGTCAAAGTAAAGCAAGGGGGAAAAGCAATTTATTTGTTCACATAAAGTCAAAGTTCAGAAGCCAAGTGGGTTGTCAGGATAGCTGAATTTGCTTGAGTACCATCAGAAATCTGTCTCCACCTCTGGCTCTGCATTCCTTTATGTTGGCTTCATTCACTAATGGACTTGCTCCAGCTGGTGGGAAGGGTGACCTGTGGCAGCTCCAGGCTTAGGAGATCCTTACAGAATGTGATCCCAGAGGTACAAGCAGGCCTTTCTCCCCTCCACTCGATGTCAATATTATAAAGAAACTCTGATTGGCCGTATTAAGTCTCTGCAGGTGATTGCTCTGGGCACGTGTATGTGGGAGGTGGGAAGGATCCCTAATCAAAGGTGACAAGCAGGGTCAGAGAAGGGAGAGTGTGAGCATGGTTTTGGATGCTGCCAAGTAGAAATCTTGGGGTTGGTGATAAATTGAGAGGTAAGTGGGAAGAGACCGCAGGCTGTGCAGCAGGTCACACTAGCTGCTGTACTGCCTCTTCTCCCTCAGCTCGCATCTTCCCAGGCCCCTAAAATGACTAAGCAGACCCATCTCCAGGATCATCAGCCTTGGCCACAGTATGGTTTCAGTTCAGAGTGAAGGAAGGCCTTTTTGCCTAAAAGATGTATTTCTAGCTACACAGTACAGCCCCTGGGTGGTATGAACAGTTAATATGCTTGCTGTTAACCAAAAGGTTGGGGGTTCAAGTCCACCCAGAGGCACCTTGGAAGAAAGGCCTGGTGGTCTACTTCCAAAAACATCAGCCATTGAAAGCTTTGTGGAGCACAGCTCTACTCTGACACACGTGGGATCACCATGAGAATCAACTTAATGGCACCTGGTGGTGGTGGTGATAGGTACGCAGTGCTGCCTGGAGTCACTTTCATAGGAGGCAGAGCATTTTTGGTCTTAACTAGTCTTTTACAGAAAAAAAGTCTGAAATGCAAATAGCTGGCATGGCTGGCGAATTCATGAAAGTGAATGTCAGTCAGGCATAATTGGCTGCTTTCTGTATCTGACTGGGGTCAGAAAGGAGGATGATATAGGGCTCCTGAGAGGGCAAGGAGTGCCCAGTGGAGCAGCCGTGGCCCACATCAGGCCCAGAGCTCTGTTGAAGTGCTGAAAGGGATCGAGGCCTCTGCTCAAAAAAAAAAAAAAAAAAAAAAAAAATCTGTATCTTTAGGGCACTGAGGACATGGTTCCTGTCTTCCAGTGACCCCTATTCTGTAGAGGGGAATTTCCTTTTGGTAGTTTAGTGGTATTGCTGTTTAATCATAGGGTAAGATCAGTGACTACCTGGAGTCCTGCTAAACATTGTTGGCTCTTTTCTGGCTGGAACTTAGAGTGGTCTGTTGTTGTTACGTGCCCTCAGGTAGATTTCAACTCATTGGGACCCTATATGACAGAGCAGAACTGCCCCACAGGGTTTCCTAGGCTGTAGATCTTTAAGGGAGGAGATCAACAGCTCTTTTCTCCTACGGAGCAGCTGGAGTATTCAAACTGCCAACCTTTCAGTTAGCAGCCGAGGGCTTAACTTCTGCACCACCAGGGCTCCTTAGTGTGGCCTAAGAAGTCCAATTAGGATTTCTTCTGCAAACTTAAAAAAAAAAAAATTGTATCCTTCTTTTAAAAACCCAAATAACAAGCACTTTCAAGTAAGTGAAAAAATTAAAAGATTTATTGAAATAGTATGACAATATATTCTTAACACAATGAAGAATGTAACAAACTCCATTTTTCACAAAGTATTTTATAGTGACTTGCCTAAGCATTGAAGGTAAAAACAAAGCAAAGCAAATAACAGTAAACCTTGATCCACCTAATAACTTTCATGAGGTAACCATAACTTTTTTTCATCAGCCTTTATGACTACATACTGAATTTCATAAATGTATATGCTGTTGGCTATACACCTACTTCACTCCAGCCACCCCATTGCTCTTAATTCATTCCACCTGCCCCCTCCCCCCCCCAAAAAAAAACCAGGGCAAAAGGCAAAAAAGGTAGCAAGGGAAAAAAAAATTAAAAAACACCAAAAACCCATAGTTCAAAAATAGATGTAAAAGTAACTTTTTTTCCGTCTTTAGGTCCATGCTCAAGTTTATTTTCTGTGACCATATGGGAAAGCAATGAAACAAATTCTGTTGACCACATAGAGTCTAACCACCACTGGGCCATTATTCAGGAAAGGCAGTGGAGTTGCCAGGGAGGTTCAGAGGCTTTAATCAGCCCTATAAGTTCCATCAGCATCTGCCCAGACCAGTCCCTCTCTCAGATAAACCTACCGTTTGGCTGTGTGCTTTTTAGCTTGAAGCCAAGTTCTCTGCCTGGCCCTCACCTCTCCCTCATGTCACCAGTCAGACGGTCATTCCTAAGGGCCCTTGCATACAGACCTCATAAAGTTGCTACTGACAAGAGATCATTTGCAAGAAGGGCTGAGTAGGAGTGTGGTATAGATTTGCAGTTAAGGTTTCCCTTGCTAAAAAATGTTGTAACAAATTTTGAAAGTAAGGATAAATTCTTCTAAGGCAATATTAAAAACAAAACAAAAACACAACACTTAATGTGAGTATGTGTTAAATGATAGAAATTGTATTGAGTAGGCTGCCTTCTATATTTCTGATATTGTTGATAATCTTAATCCAGAGATTATGAGAATTTTATTTCAAATACTGTTCTTATTTACATAAGATGAGAATTAAAAACAAAATTTTGGTTCATTAGTAGAAATATTTTATAATAGAAAACAAATGTAAGAAAAAGCATATTCATAAAAATAGAAATGTATGAAAAATATTCATTTATTCAATAAAATTTTTAAATGAACATATCCATGTCAAATTAACTGGCTCAATAAAGAGTAGAAAAGGATTACTTCTGGGTAGTTTCAATATGCAATGCTATATATATATATATATATATATATTTGTTTTTAATTAATTCACCAACATTTTCTTAAATGCCTACGATTCCTTGTTTTGGAAACCCTGGTGATGTAATGGTTAAGAGCTACGGCTGCTAACCAAAAGGTCAGCAGTTTGAATCCACCAGGTGCTCCTTGGAAACCCTATGGAGCAATTCTACTCTGTCCTATAGGGTCACTATGAGTTGGAATTGACGGCAACTGGGTTTTTAAAATTCCTTGTTCTTAAATTTTTATTTTACTGTTTTAGAAGAAGGATTATTGTTGGGGGTTCAGAAATAAAGCTTTGTATTTTATAGAGTTCTGTGTATTTACTCTCTAACTCTTTTTAAATTCTAATGCTTTTTGTTTGCTTTTGTTTAAATAGAATTTACAAATGAAAGATAAAGGAAGAAAGGATGGATAAACAAAGAAGTTCCTAAAGTGTAATAGTAAACATTATTTTAAGAGAAAATAAAAACAACTTCAGATAAGACCCTTCAAAGAACGTGCCCTCCCATTCTCAGACAGCTCTCGATTTACGCATTGAGGAGAACCTAATACCATTTCACAGAATTTCCACGCATCTTTCTTCACTTCTCTGACTTCTCCTGTCTAACATGGGTTGATATATTTCAGCCATTATGCAATAGCCAGAGCGAGGTGTTAGACCTTCAATTTCAACAACTCTGTGAGGTCCTTCATATACCTTTTGCTCCTACACACAGGAATAAAAATCAGATGATAAATATTTTCAATAAGTCATTGATTTGCTCTATTTTTGTTAAAATTAATAAGTTGTACATGGATATTCTAGTAGTTGTACATGGGTATCCAATATTCTAGGTTTAGCATTCCTTCCTAGACACACCTCCTTGCTCCTGAACCCTAGGCCATAGTCTGGTAAAGAGACAAGTCAAGTGGCTGTGTAGGTACTTGTAATGGATTGAATAGTGTCCCCCCAAATATGTGTAGTAAATCCTAACCCCTGTATTTGTGGATGTAATCCCATTTGGGAATAGGATTTTCTTTGTTATGTTAATGAGGCCATATCAGTATAGGGCATGTCTTAAGCCAATCACTTTTGAGATATAAGAAGGGCAGTTTAAGCACAGAAGCAAGGAAGCACAAATGAAGAAAAACTGATGCCATGTGGAGATCACCAAGGAACCAAGGAAGAGAAGCTGAAAGAAACAAGGACCTTTCCCCAGAGCAGACAGACAGAAAGCCTTCCCCTAGAGCCAGTGCCCTGAATTTAGACTTCTAGCTTCCTAAACTGTTAGAAAATAAATTTCTGTTCATTAAATCTACCCACTGTGATATTTCTGTTATAGCAGCACTAGATAACTAAGACAACACTACATGCCCTTCTCCCTGATCGCTGCAGATTGACCCAGTGGCCAATCAGAGTCTGTTTTTCAAGAATTTGAACTGTGCAGAGAGCAGAATGGAGTAGAATTGTGGAGATAACCTTGGACGTGCAACATGTGGCCACAGAGAGAATGTCAGACAGATACAGAGAGACCCTTTAACATTTGCTTCTCCATTTCCCTTTTCCAGTCACTACAAAGCCTGGCTTCATTTCCTGCTTCTCCTTATAAAACCCCTCCCCTCCTCCCCTTTTTTTATTTGAACTCGTTTGAATGGATTTCTGTTTCTTACAACCGAAGGAACCCTTCCTCAGTTGGGCACCAAAAAGGGGGCATTCAATTAACCATCACACCAAGATAAAGGCATTGATGGTGGCCTATAATATTAGAGTGAAATTGGCACAATATAATGCTGTAACACAAAAGTTACTTTAAAATAAGATGTATAAAGTCCATAAAAATGAATATTTGTGGCAGTCTTATGGAATTAAATGTTACTAATACCAGTCTTTAGATATCCAGGCAAGACCACTCAGAGAAAGCACGCATACACACATACACCAAGGAAAAAACCAAACTATTTGCCAGAGTTGATTCCAACTCATGGCAATCCCATGTACGTCAGAATAGAACTGTGCTCCGTAGGGTTTTCAAGGCTGTGACCTTTCAGAAGCGGATCACCAGGCCTTTTTTCTGTGGCACCTGGGATGGGTTTGAACCACCAATCTTTAGGTTAGTAGTTTAGCGCTTAGGTGACTGCGCCACCTAGGGACTCCTACGTACATATGTAAAAACCAAAACCAAACCTGTTGCTGTTGAGTTGATTCTGACTCATAGCAACCCTATAGAACAGAGTAGAACTACCCCATAGGGTTTCCAGGGAGTGGCTGGTGGATTCAAACTGCCGACCTTTTGGTTAGCAGCCAGGCTCTTAACCACCATATATACGCACACACAAATTCTGATGGTGATGTCTTACGCTAATTAATATTCAATAAATGACAGTGAAAGAAAGAAGAGTTTAAAAACAGATAAGAAAAAATAAGAGGAGATAAAGTAGCAATCAAGAGAAATACTATATGGCCAAAATGTTAGTTAAATAAACAAAAGAAATAAAACATCAAACTTATCTATTCATCTGAACTCACCTTTTCTAGTGAGTTGTTAATTATAAACACTCGGTATACTAATTCATAGTAATTTTCCATCGATAAATTTCTCCCTTTTTGGTCTCTGTATGGTAAATTTGGAGCACGGAGACTCACCAACAAATATCTACCAACTTGTGTTATATTCAAGACTGGAGGATCCATTTTAGCTGGAGAAAGAACAGGAAATTTTGAAAAATTTAAAATATGCAATTATTTCACATGGCTACATTATGCATAATGACAAGTCATTATTAAATGCAGAGACTTGGCAAAAACCATTATGAATAGATATCTCTGACACCTAACAATACAAAATGCACAAATATCTGAGAAGTTTCTTCGAAGATAATTTTATATTCACCAGAACTGATACTTTTTTTTTCCCTGGAGGAAGTCAAAACTCCTTAACATGAAATTTTCATCTCTTGCCTACCTCTCCAGTCCTACCTTCTTTTCATAGCCCCTGCTGTCCACTTTTCTTCACTGTATTGTTATTAGTTGCCCCTGAGTCAACTCATGGGGACCCCATGCACAATGTAACGAAATGCTGTTGGGTCCTAGGTCATCCCATGATCAGTTGGGGATCTGATCATTGGCTGATTTTTTGGAAGCAGATCTCCAGGCCTTTCTTCCTAGTCTGCCTTAGTCTGGAAGCACCATTGAATTCTGTTTAACATCACAGCAACATGCAAGCCCCCACTGACAGAAGGGTGGTGGCTACGTATGAGGTGCATTGGCTGGGAATCAAACCCAGGTCTCCCTCACGGAAGGTAAGAATTCTACCACGGAACCATTCCTGCTCTCTTTCTTCACTACAGCAGCTGTCTTTTACTTCCTTATATTTGCCATGCTTCCTCCTTCTTCGACCTGCCTCTGCACAAGTAAGTTGCATGAAGAAATGGCCCAAATGCCCATGGTCTCCACTCCTGTCACATTACCTTCCATCTCCCAGTCTGCACTTATGGCCTCATGGGGAGTTCCTTATGATCAGTTGACTGAGGAAGAGAAAATTCATGCCTGGTTTACAGATGGTTCTGTGCGATATGCAGGCACCACTCAAAAGTGGACTGCGGCAGCACTATAGTCCCTTTCTGGGACCTCCTTAAAGAACAGTGATGAAGGTAAATTCTTCCAATGGGCAGAACTTCGAGCAGTGCACCTGGGTGTTCACTTTGCTTGGAAGGAGAAATGGCCAGATGTGCAATAGTATACTGATTCATGGGCTGTGGCCAATGGTTTGGCTGGATGGTCATGGACTTGGAAGGAACATGATTGGAAAATTGGAGACAAGGAAGTATGGGAGAGAGGTAGGTGGATAGACCTCTCTGAATGGACCAAAGAAGGGAAGATATTTGTGTCTCATGTGAATGCTCACCAAAGGGTGACCTCAACAGAGGAGGATTTTAACAATCAAGTGGATAGGATAATGCATTCTGTGGAAACCAGTCATCCTCTTTAGAGGAGGTCAGATGACAGCCCCATGCCATTTTTCTGGCAAGTGAGATAATAAGGCTACAAGTTTGTGCTATAAATTTCCCTTTTATCCTTCCCCACAGGGTCACTGTAAAGAAGATAATGGTAAGTACAGACCTTTGGACAATAGTGGACCCTGATCCTGAGTTGATGATAATCCTTGAGGACTCAGAATGCTACTGTGGGATCTTATGGAGGTCAGATAATAAAAGCAATTATGACTTGAGTCCCTTTCTCAATGAGATATACACAACTGGCAGAATCCATTCCCATTTTGGTTTCCTGATCTGCAGCATGGAAGTTATCATGGGATGAAAGGCCAAGTAGAAGCCCATGAAATTTCTACTTTGAATAAAATAGAAAATCAGAAGCAATACCATATCCCTAGGGTAACTGTAGAGATTAGTGCATCAAAAACATCTTGAAAGATACAGAGGTAGTGAGATACTGTCTCATTTAACTCATCTATTGGAACTATACCAAAAAAAAGGGTCTTGGATAATAAAAGGCATTATTGTAAATATACTTAGGTGGTGACTCTTAGATATATTGTCTCTTTTCTGGAGCCAATGAGCATAGCCTCTGATATATAACTGTTGATTTGAAGAATGATTTTTTCCTTCCTGTATCAAATAATTAGAAATTATTAGAACGTTTCTTTCACTTGATTTTCATTGTTGTCCTGTTTGTCTGCCATATATAGTCTACAAAGTCCCTGATCCTTTCATCACAAAATATCTTGTTGGTCAACTAAATTGATCACATGGTGTTGATTGCACCTGATGTGTCTAAAGTACTACGTATTGTAGATGTTTTAGTAAGGTACATGTAAACATAATGGTGGAGTTAGATATCATAAAACTTCAGAGAGTCCACTTACCTGAGGTTTGCTGGGACATTTCCTCTGAAGTGAAAAACAAGTTGCTTCACTTTGCAATTCCTACTGCTAAGAAAAGAGTCACTGAGCTTGTTGGGAACATATACCACATTTAGTTCTGCTACCCATTTCCGTAAGGTTTTGAGTGGAACCAAGAGTAAGAGACATATTTCCCAACTTGTCCAGGTTACAGTCAAGCCACTCTGCAACTTGCCATTTATGACCCACCATGTTGCTATAATGATTCTCAAAACTTCTGTGGCATTTCAAAATGCTATACAGAGGCTGTGGCAAACCCAGATCACAGGCCCCTGAATTTTCAGAGCCAAGTCATCCCCTCTTTAGCAAAAAACTATTCTTATTTTAAGAAACAGCACCAGGATTCTTTGTTACTGGGCCCTGGTAGAAACTGAACACCTGATCTTGGGATATCAAGGAACCATGTAACCTGAGCTTCCCATTATGAACTGGGTGTCCTCTGATACACCAAGTCATAACATGCACAGCAACATAACAGTGGTAATGGATTATATGAGCTCAGTCTCTAGCCAGCCTCAACATTATAGTAAGTTGCAAAAGTAGGTGGCTCGTCTTCCCAGTGCTCCTATACCTGAGGCCTTACCACTGCTTCTTCCCCTACAGTTATAGTCTCTTGAGGCGTTCCCTATGACCAGTTTGTGAGCCTGATTCCCAGAAGTTGGCACTGGCAAGAAGTGGACTGCTATAGCATTATACACTTCTCGGATGGTGGTAGGAGGTCTGGAAAGAAGTCTAGATGGGCTCTTAAGTACTAACATCCAGAATGTAAATATTTTTGTGTCCACGTGACTGCACAATAAAAGGTATCTACTAAGGAAGCTCTCAAAAACCTAGGTGCACACAGTGATAGTCTCTTTCCCCAATATCTCATAGTTGCTCGATGGGCTCATGAACAAAATGACTGTGAAAGGGATGGAGGCTATATATAGACTCAACAATATGGACTTCTTCTTACCAATGCTGGAGTGACCACTGTCACTGCTGAGCATCCAGCTTCCCAGTAAGGACATCCAATGCTAAGTCCCTAGTATTGTGCCATATCCTAGGGGGTCTTACAGATCTTTGGGGGTCCCTTCCAACCAAGAGGGGAAAGAGACACTGGAATAGACACTTTTCAGTTTATAGATTTGTCTTTCTTGCTGCAATGAATTTATCACAGCCCCCTCTAACAACAACAAAATAAACTTGTGCTGTCGAGGCAATTCTGACTCACAGGAACCCCATGTGTTACAGAGTAGAACTGCTCCATAGGGTTTTCTTGGCCGTAATCTTTACGGAAGCAGATTGCTAGGTCTTTCTTCCACAGTGCTGCTGTGTGGGTTTGAACCGCCAACGTTTAGTAGAGAGAGAAGGCCATGCTTTATGAGGGCTTTTTACGTGCAGGAAGAACAAGTGCAGGGAAACTCCATGGAACTCACTTTCAAACCAGGGAATAAACCGTGGAGTAATGCTCCAGGTGGAATGGATCTCAGCTGCGGCTGCTCTCACCCTCCCGTAATAAGGTTCTTGTATGTCCAAGGTTTCATTGGTAAGGTCACAAAAGAGTTCTTGAATACCCCAGCAGTCCTCTTTATTTGTCCATTGTCTCTGTCCATATCTATAAAAGGAGAAAAGAGGAATATTTGAGCTTCTTTTTTTTCCACTGAAGGAGTCTTCAATGTTTTTCAATCTATTAATGTTTTAGGCCAGTTGAAACCTGTCCTCTAAAATCAGTACCACTGTGAAGGCTTATGACTACTCTTTTTAAAAAAAAAAAAAAAAAATTATGGCTCTTCTAAAATATCTTTTAAAAAAATTCCTTCTTGGTAACCAAAATGATATCTTGCTGGAAGATGAACTCAACTCTGACACCTTTTGTGTCACTAACATAAAGTTGTTTTTTTTTTTTTTCAATACTTAGTGAAGAGTTTCTCTTCTGGTGTACCAACCAACTTCCATTTTTGAGTACTACCTCTCCACATCCTTAATGTTTCTGAGGTTTCAACTCTTTGTGGCTTTCTTTCCTTCTCATTAGCTTGCTGTTGAGTCATGGCTGATTCTGAGAATTTGCTGTCACTTTTCACCTCAAGTGATGCTTACCCATACACATATGGTTGATCTCTTTATTGAAAATACAGCAGAGGTTGTAGTGAGTGCTTTATAGGAAACTCTCTGTAACTTCGGACTGGAAGAGAGTGAGGGAAACCCATGAAAGAAGGGAGCAAAGCAAAGAGGTAGATAGATTGACTTCAGCCTGAGACTATGGGACGATGCAACAACAAAAGAGAAGATTATTGCTTCACTTCCTTACCAGCTGAAAGTCAAAGCAAATGCAACAAGATGGTGGAGAAAGAGAACAGGAACTGGGAATCTGGGGAGAAAGGCTTCCCAAAATACTTGTTGGACAACTTGAAATCTAACTTCCTAATAATATAATGAGGGATATTGTTGGGGTCTGCCCTCTATAAACCATATGATGACAGCAATTTCATTATATCAGAAGATAACATTAAAGCAAAACTAACAACATATATTGAGCATAATTTGATACTTTTTCATTGTTATTTATTAAGAGCAGTTGTCTTTGCTAGCTGAATTTAGCTATAATGTCTGGCTTCTCTTATAATGTGATACCTCATTTTTTTGTCCTACCTCAGATGGGACAGATATTAACAGTAGAACCATATGAACTGGATAAAACCTCAGTGAAAGACTTCAGAAATACACATTTGCACTGAGCTGTTGAAAATACCATATAGACAGAGATAGATCCAAGTATACTGAGGTGTGAAATTTACACAAGTTTGAGAGCTCTCTAAGAAAAAGAATTACAAATATAAAATTAAATGGGGCCCTGAAACTTAAGCTTCATGATAAAACATCCATTAAACTACTTACTACTGAATTTTGGACCTAATTATACTGCCTAAGGTGAAGAGCAACAAGCCCTACATCATATATGCTGGAAGCATCCCCAGCTATGAACAAATCTATTCTTGGAATGGAGAAATCTTTATTGTAAAGATTTGTAAATTTTACAATTGTTCCACAAAATATGTAGAGAAAAGAAGCAACAGTTAAAGACTGAGAAACTTCTGGAGATATTCCCTCTGAAATCAGAGAAGTTGTTATTGTTATTGTGGAGTAGAAATGCTCCATAGGGTTTTCAAGAAAGCAGATCGTCAGGTCTGCCTTCTGAGGAGTCTCTGGGTGGGTTCGAACCTCCAGTCTTTCAGCTAGGGACTCCAGAAAACCAAAGCCCATTGCGGTCGAATCGTTTCTGAGAAGTGAATTAACAAGAAACTCTAACCTAGTACCTCATATACATGTTAAAGCTGGATGATGAATAAGGAAGACCAAAGAAAAACTGAGGCCTTTGAATTGTGGTGTTGGTGAAGAACACTTAATATACCATGAGCTTCCAAAAGAACAAACAAATCAGTCTTGGAAGATGTACAACCAGAATGCTCCTTAAAGGAAAGATGGTGAGATTACATCTCACATGCTTTGGACATGTCATCAAGAGCGTTCAGTCCCTGGAGAAGGATACCATGCTCGGTACAGTAGAGAGTCAACGAAAAAGAGGAAGACCCTCAAGGAGATAGATTGACACAGTGGCTGCAACAATGAGCTCAAACATGATAACAATTGTGAGGATGGCGCAGGACTGGGCATTGTTTCACTCTGTTGTACATAGGGTCGCTATGAGTTGGAACCGACTGAATGGCACATATCAACAACTGAGTACCTACACTGTGCTGGAGAGACGTGTTACCAACATTGCCATGTGGGTAAAGTTACTGAACAAAAATTGTTATTTTGGTCCATATCTGCATCTGATTTTCTTAATTACCGATGAAAAATCATGGAAGCTGAACTGTAACATCTCCTGTCTAATACTCAGCTGCATGTCAAACTACATCAAAGGAGGAAGGGTCTTAAAAAAAAAAAAAAAAAACAGGAAATGGGTGAGTGGAAAAAACTGCCATTTGCAGATCAGGAGATTTCTGTTTCCAGTACTTGATCCAGGAAAAGAGTCGATCGTCTCTAAGTTTTGGCAACAGTCCAGCAGGGTTAGCCTAAAGATCCACATGAGAAGAACATGAAACAGCAAGTTGCAATTTGTGGTCATGCTTATAGGAGTCATTAATTTTTTTTAAAGAGTGTTCTAAATAGTAAATTCACTTTAAATATGGCATTAAGAGGAAAAACACCTATTGTATATACTTCTGTTTATGTTTTCCACCATTCCTGTTTCAGTGATCAATAGTTTCAACTTAATTGAGTACCTACTGGGTGCTAAACAATGGCTTCCAATGTTCATTCCACAAATAATGTATTGAGAGCCCAGCATGTACCAGGCACCGTTGTGAAGCCATGGAATGAGTCTGTAAGGTCTTGGGTGTTGTGTCTCCCAGGGATGAAGTACCTCCCCAACAGGCTGTGTATATATCATCATGAGTTCTGAGTCATCAGGTAGACTTCAGGGGAGATAGGTCACTTCTATTGCTACCTCTGCTTCTTCTCAACCTCTCTGAAACTGAAAAAAGCACAGATCCTAACATTCCATTGCATTCTAGAACACATCATTCCAGGGATCAAGTCTGTCAACTGGAAGAAGCTCAATTTACTTACGTTTTGTACTGCACAAAATAGATGTTGCGGTTGCCTGTAAGCACCTTCCCTGGCTGCCAGTGCAAAATATTGTGAAAATTCCTGGACAGAAAATGTACCCTCTGGGGCTTCAGAGATTCCTGGGCTGGCTGAGTTTCTAAAATAATAAGAGAAGGAAAGACATTAAACATTGATATAAGCACTATTGTTATTAGTAGTAGTTTTCAATGTAATATCTGCATCAGAATTCCCTGAAGTGTTTGCTATAAGTGCAGATGGTAGAGATGGAGCCCAGAAATCAATATTTTGAATCTTCGATAAGATGATTTTGATGCATACTAGAGTTTCAGAACAACTGTGTTCTAAACTATAAAAATACAAGTGAAATCCTCCCAGCCCGTTTTCTAAAGCTGTAGAGGAAGTCAATGGCAGTGAAAAATATTGTCCTTTGTCTCTTCCCAGATGGTAATGGAATATAATGACTGAGATGAAAGGCCTACACCAAGATCACTCACCCACCTTCCTAAGAGTCACTATATTACCATTACTCTGGGGCAAAATTTTGCCTGGGATCAATTTTGGCTGCAAGGCCTCAGTGTAGATTGCAGTTCCCCCTTTCTCAAGTTCTTTTTCCATCTCTGGATCCTGCTTCGTTGTCCTCCCTGACCTGATCTTCCACCACCTTCCACATTGCTTCTCCATACTGGCATCCTTGCTCTTGCTCCACCATGCCAAGTATAATCCCATCTTAGGGTCTCTGCTTGTCTCTTTCCTTTTCCTGGAATGTTCTCTCCCTGGGTAATACAAAGAGTTAATGTGCTTGGCTGCTAACCAAAAGGTTGGCGTTTTGAGTCCATCCAGATGCATCTCAGAAGAAAGGTCTGGAGACCTACACCAGAAAAATCAGCCACTGAAAATCCTGTGGAGCACAGTTCTACTCTGATGCACGTGAGGTCACCATGAGTTGCAGTCACTTGATAGCAGCTGTTCTTTTTCCTCTCTCTGGATTTCCGCATGGCTCATTTCTTTGCCTCCTTCAAGTCTTTGTTCAAATATCACCTTATTGAGATGCAGGAAAATACTCTAAGCCAATGATCTCACCTCTGATCTTTCAAGACTTTTTTCTTTTCTAGTAAGTGAGGCTCCTTCAGTATGGATTACACCTCAACGTAAGGAAAACAAAAATCCTCACAACTGGACCAATAAGCAACATGATGATAAACAGAGAAAAGATTGAAATTGTCAAGGATTTCATTTTACTTGGATCCACAATCAACGCCCATGGAAGCAGCAGTCAAGAAATCAAATGACTCATTGGGCAAATCTGCTGCAAAAGACCTCTTTAAAGTGTTAAAAAGCAAAGACATCACTGTAAGAACTAAGGTGCGCCTGACCCAAGCCATGGTGTTTTCAGCTGCCTCGTATGCATGCGAAAGCTGGACAACGAATAAGGAAGACCAAAGAAGAATTGATGCCTTTGAATTACGGTGTTGGTGAAGAATGTTGAATACACCACGGACTGCCAGAAGAATGAAAAAAATCTGTCTTGGAAGAAGTACAGCCAAAATACTTCTTATAAGCAAGGATGGTGAGACTTTGTCTCATGTATTTTGGACATGTTATCAGGAGGGACCAGTCCCTGGAGAAGGACATCATGCTTGGTAGATAGAGGGTCAGAGAAAAAGAGGAAGACCTCAGGGAAATGGATTGACACAGTGGCTGCAACAATGGCCTCAAGTACAACAACGATCACGAGTATGGCGCAGGACTAGGCAGTGTGTCATTCCGTGTGCATAGGGTCACTATGAGTCGAGACAGACTTGGTGACACCTAACAACAGCAACAAACAAGGCTGTTTCCTTGGGTATTTATTTTTTACCAACCAAATAGTGTTAATAGTTTTATTTTGTTTTTTGGACTTCCTTCAGTGATGGTATGTACTTGGAAAGAGTTGATTTCACTTACCAAAATCACTACCTGAGCAATCATATTTAATACATAAAAATTCCAGAAGTTTTCAGGAAATGACAGGCACAATTTCCTGAAGGCCTGCTTAGAGATGACCTGCTAACCTGGAAGTAGATGGTTCCATGTCCTTTATCCCTTCTGTGTACAGATTTCTTCCTTCATTTTTGAAACAACAATACCACCATTACCACCAACAACAATAGTCATAACTCACTCTGCACCAGGCACTGTGAGGGCCTTTACCTGCATTAGCTCGTTTAATCTGTTTGGCTCTTCTATGAGACAGAAACTATTGTTGTCTCCTTACAGACTAGACAACTAAGGCTTGGAGAGGTTAGGAAACTTGCCCAGCAGCAAATGGCGAAGCTAACTCCAGAGTCTGCCTCTTTCCTAGCACAGAAAACCAAGAGCAAAGACTTTCCTACCACCATAACATCATCTCCTTGGCAAATCATTCCTCAAAGCAACTACAATTTCATCTTGTTACTACATCATATTATTTCATTATTTTAGGGGAATTAAAAAATTATAAGGATCACTTCAAAACATATTTTCTGTAAATCACTGCTGTGGCAGCTCATTTTTGTTAGGATGGGTTTTCATCATCAGAGAGGAGGTAGTGGGGGAAAAACAACTAGAGGTTGAGGATATTCCTTCTTATTCTCGCTCTTATCTCCCTTCTCCTCCTAATTGGCATTCATTTAACATTCCCTGTATTTCAAGCACTGTGCTCAAAGTTTTACATCTTATTTAATTCTCACAACAACCAAATAATGAAAAAAACCCATTGCCATCATGTTGTTTCCGACTCATAGCAACCCTATGGGACAGAGTGGAACTGCCCATAGGGTTTCCAAGGAGCGGCTGGTGGATTCAAGGTGTCAACATTTTGGTTAGCAGCTAAGCTCTTACCCACTGCACCATCAGGGCTCCAACATTATTACATTTTACAGGTTGGGAAGAGGAGGAATAAAGAAGTTGTATATCTTGCCCAAGGTTACAGAATGGTAAGATGCAGAGCCAGGATCATTTTGGCAGCACTTGAATTCTGGCAAGGAGGGCTGAGTTGTTTTTACATATTAGTCTCTGAACAAGTGTTTAGTCTTGGAAAGTGACTTGAGTCTCTTACACTGACTGGTGCCCATCTCTAAATAGGATTCTAAGGGTCTTACTCAGAAGGATGCTGTGGTGATAAGATGCTCTATGCTCTTGAAGAGTTCTCTGTGAATACCAACAGGAAATTCTCACACGACGTTTATGGTCCCAACTCTGTGCCAGGCACTGCTCTGAGCACTTGGCATATATTAACTCATTTACTCTTCACAATGACCTGTGAGCCTCATTTTACAGATGCGGAAATGGAAGCACAGAAAGGTTAAGTGAATTCTCAAGATTACCTAGATAGTAAGTGGCAGAATTGAAATTCAGACTCGGGCAGTCTGGCCGAGGACTCTGTGCTTGTAACCACTGTTATAGTGACCCTCTAAGACAAAAGAAATTCTAAGGGAGAAAGAGATGGATGTACATTTGTCCTGTGTAAAATTTCTTGCACCTACTAGAGTGCATGCCCTTTAGGAGGTATCCATTAAATACATGTGAAACTAATCAGACTGCAGATAGTAACTGAACACTTGTCTTGATCGTTTAGTGACCAAAGAAAGCTAAACTTTTTACAAAGCCTACAAAAGAGCCAATGCCCTTTCTAACAGTCCCTTGATCAGACACAGATGACAAAGCCATGAGGGATTAAAAAGAAATCAAGCACTTACCTACTACGCCAGTCAGGAGGAAATTTATGAGGAAGCCTAGAAAGCAATGTTTAGACTTCATGGTCGTGAGTGTGACTGGCCAGACGACCAGTGTTGAGCAGGAAACTATAAAATTCTGAAACCACAAAAGTTTAACCAAAGCAAATGGTTCCTGGAAGCAAGTAAAATTTTATCTTGTTGCTACATCATTTTATTTTATTATTTTAGGAGAACTTAAAATATTGTAAGTATCTCTCTTCAAAAATCATTTACTATATATCACTTCTTTGTGGCAGCTCATTTTTGTTAAGAATGGGATCCAATAGCGATGAAAAAATAAAAAACAAGATTGGCAGGAAATTGTGTAAGGTGCCCCCAGCAGGCAGGGAGGCTGCCAGGACCCAGCCCGTGGCTGACAGGATGATTTTGAGAAATGTGCTTGGCAGTTGCAGCAGTCAGAGCCCTTGGCAGGGGTTCACAGCAGGTGAGGTCTCTCGTTCTGTTTCTTCCTTTTCTTCCCTGCGTGGTACCTCCCTGACTAGCCTCCATGGTGTACCTCATACCCTCCTGCCACTCTCTGGCTTTCCGAAGGGGCCACCCTATGATATTCCTTAGCCTTCCCCAGTTCACAGTAGCCCCACTCACTAATCCATCTTCCTTTTCCATTCCCACCCTCAGTTTCCACATCTCAATTGCAGTCTGGCCAAATATTTCAATTCTGTCAAGCCAAATGATTCCTTGAAAGTATGTGTGTGAAAAGGACAAATATTGTGTGATCCCACTTATGTGAAATATCTAGAATAGGCAAATGCATAGAGACCAAAGCCTATTAGTGGTTACCAGGGATGGGAGGGAGGAAGAAAGGGGGAGTCATTGCTTAAGGGGCACTGAGCTTCTGTTAAGGGTGATGGAAAATTTTACATATGGATAGTGGTGATGGTTGCACAACATGGTGAATATAATTGAAGTCCCTGAATTGTACATGTAAAAAAAGGTTGACATCACAAATGTTTTGTTATATATCTATGGATATATATAACACACACATATATATATGCCACAATTTTTTGAAAAATTTATATGTGGAGGACGATCATTTTGAGCTGGTACTCTTCCTTACTAGCAACAATGGGCTCAGACATAGCAACGATTGTGAGGGTGGTGCAGGACCAGGCAGCGTTTCATTCTGTTATACACAGAGTTGCTATGAGTCAGGGCCGACCTGATGACACCAAACAACTCTACCTTAGAGCTTTTTCATATCTTCTTTGAAATCTGCTCAAATCAGGTCAACTGTTTTTTGCCCATGATTCATTATAGCGTTTTTAGAGTACATGAAAGCACAAGAAAGTCACAACGATTGTTTTTTCTTAAAGAGGCTTTTTAGGTGAAAAGAGGAAATATATTCAGGCTTCTTTTTTCTCTTATGTAGTCTCTTTCAAGTTCTTGGTAGAATAACCCTTTTAGTAAGGAATAGTGATGGGTCCTAAGAGGTCCTCATTCATTCAGTCACTCATTTATTCATTCAATAACAATTTAACAAATATTTGTTGCCCTACCATGAGTTAGCCATTGTTCTCAGCACCAAGAATGAAGCATACCTTCTAGAAATTAACTTCTAAAGGGAGAAGTCGACAATAAAGAGCTGCGGCAGGTTGTAACTTCTATTAATCTTTCCTTCTTCTCCTCCTTCTGAAATGTGAGACAAAAAGTTTCAGAGGCCTGCTTGCATGGCCACTTTTCCATGCCCCAAGACTAGCCAAGACTAGGGCTGTAGGAAGAGAAGAGAAGAAATGGAAGAGCTAAAAGGACAGGGATAAGTGCCACTAATGTGGAAGAGGAAAAGAGTCCTCAAGCAGGTAGAGGTAAGGGTAACCTTCTGGGTGAATAAAGGAGCAGAGGGAAATTGTTCTTGAGTGCAGAACATGGCCTCCACCCCCACCACCCGGCATCTGCGCTGGGTGTTGTAGAGAACTTGTGTGCCTGGGACTGTGAAGCCTTGAGCCCAGTTAGGGGCATGCAGGCAAACCTCATCCCTGATTAAGGTGTCTTGACACAGAGCCCATTAGGAATTTCCTCATGGACCAGGGCAGTGTGGACCCACTATCGTTGTCCCCTAACAAATTCCAGCTATTTGAGGACAGTTGTGATACATGGTTTCTAAAGGCAGAGTGGTATTGAGAGGTTTGTGAAGATAACACCAGGTTTTCTAATACCTCCGGGCTCTGTCAAACTTCAGAATCCAGACTCTTAACTCCTCCCAGGGAAGTTCCCATTGCTTACAAGCTAATTTGTGGTTTCAAAGAAGGAACAAAAATCTCTTATGTTCCCCTTTCACCTTTTTGGTGCTCCTTTCTTTCCAGTCTTCTGAGCATCCTCCTTCTTTTACTTGCTGGCTATAATGATTAATTTTATCTATTAACTTGGCTAGGCTATGGTTCCCAGTGGTGTGGCCAAACCTAGTCTAGTTGCTATTCCATAATGTAGTGTAATGTAACGTAATGTAAAGTGACGTAATGTAACCATAACGTAACGTAATGTAGAGCAATGCAATAATTAATTTAATGTAACCATATTCCATAATGTAATCTATTGTAATGTAATCAATCAGTCAGTTGAAAAGGGAGTTTCTTTAGGGTGTGTTCTGCTTCAAGACTGTACGATATTTTGGCAGAACTTGCTCTCTCTCTTCATTCTGCACTCTTCCCTGCACCTGACCTATGGATTTTGGACTTGCCGACCCCCAGCAATTGTGTGAGCCAATCCTTTCAAGTAAATCTTCCTTTCTCTCACTTTATATATGTATATATCTTACTCGTTCTGTTTCTCTAGAGAATAGAGAACATTGACTAAGACAGTAGTGTAGTCCACTGAACTGTAGATTTTGCATAAACCTTTGTTTTCAAATGGGGATGACAATCTGGGTTTGAGCTATTGATGTTCAATATTTTTTACACCAAATCTCTTCTTTGGAAATGGCAAATTTTTTTTTTTCAAATTCCAGCTAAAAACAAAACAAAAACAAAAAAAAGACAGCATGTTAATTAAAGGTTTTATAAGTTGAGCAGTAGAAAATGAAACTGGGGTTTCCACTGGGCTACTAATTTTGTGGAATAAATAAGGAAAATTAGGTGAGGGCAGTGGGGAAAAGCATAGGATATACTGAGAACTGAATTCTCCCAAAGATGTGCGCTTCTGTGCTACATTAGATTTCAGAAACCAAACCAGTCTGTCCACATTCAACAAGATTTTTAGTTGTGTGATTTCATAACCTGTGTAAAAGTCAATATTGCCAACACTGTCTCAAGATAAGCTAAAAGATAAAATTAAATTCAAATGTCTTACCAATTTGGCAGCAGAAAACTCTACAGAATTGTTTAAAATGAAATAATATTGGGTTTGAGAAATAAGAGAATTACAGTTAATGGGGGATCCTTGCTCTACTTTGCTGCGGGCATGAAATACTAGCTTCAGATTCATGCCCTACCTCTACCCCTACAATAAGAGTTCAGCATGGTGGGATCCCAGTAATAGTGGATAGTGGTAAGGGTGGGTGCCACTATTGCTCTGAGGTATTGGGTCTGAAGAGACTTCACCTAAGCCCCTGCCTTGAACAGATTTGATTCTCTTCTTTCTCCTTGTGGCTTCCAGCAAACCAACAATTCATCTAACTAAGGAATTGTTATTAATTATTTTAGGTGTGATATGAAATTTTGGTTGTTATTTTTTGTTCTTATTTTATTACTTTTTAGAGAAATGTTTTGAAGTATTTACAGCTGAAATGATATGATATCTGGGGTTTGCTTCAAAATCATCCAAGGAGTTGAAGAAGGGGGTAGTTGACCATGAGTTGATGATTGTTGAAACTGTGTGCTGGTTATTGGGTTCATTATATGCTATACTTTTGTATATATTTTTGAAAAGTTTCATAACAGAAGAAAAAGATTTCAGAAGTTTATCTAAAAGATGTCATCTTTATAAAACTTCTTTTGGTAATTTTAATGCCTTTGTGGTGTCAATGGAGCACTGGTGGCACAGTGGTTAAAGCACTTGGCTGCTAACCAAAAGGTTGGCGATTTGAACCCACCAGCTGCTCCACAGAAGAAAGATGTGGCAGTCTACTTTTGTAAAGATTTACAGCTTTGGAAGCCCTTTGAGGGCAGTTCTACTCCCTCCTATAGGGTTGCTATGAGTTAGAATTGACTCGACGGCAGTGGGTTTGGTTTTTTGGTCAATAATGAGATCTAAATATTAATCTAATAATCATGGTACTCTGTGTTATTACTTTCTATGCATCATCTTAGTTAATCCTCAGAAGTCCATGAGGTCAGTATTATTGTCCTGGTATTACACATGAGGAAACTGAGGCATAGAGAGGCTAAGAGAATGTGAGCAGGCTCTATAGCAAGTAGTGACAAAGTGAGCTGATCCCAGAGCCTGAGGAACATCATAATAACAGTACACATTATTCTTCACTTGTAATATTTATTCCATTAAGGGCTAGAATGATGTCAAAGAAGCTTGACCATTCATTCCTCTAATTGTTTATTTACTCAAACAAATGTTTATTGAGCACCTGCTGTATGCCAGGGACTGTGCTAGGCATCAGGGATACAGTAACGGCAAGACAGCAAAGCCTACTTTCACAGAACTAACATAATTTCTTAAGCCAGGTCTTGGTATCAAAAGGCTACATAATTCTTATCCTCCTTCAGAAAAGTTTTTAAAAACTGGTGTCCAGAATTACTTCGGCGGTGTGCATTCAAGAGGGGTCAGATCCACTGAGTTTCTGCCCCAGGCCTTTTCCCTCATCCAATGACTCAGTAAGCATCTGGGCATCTTATAAAAGTTCTGCTGAGAAATGTAACTTGAGCACCACCCCCTCAGACCTATGAAGAATCATACACTTGTAGTACCAATAACTGAAACTATTTTTTCCTTCTTATCTACTAGGCCCTCAATAATGCAGCTGAGTAATAATGATGGTCTTTAAGCAGTTCTGCATTCTGGAAAAAATTATCATGCATTTCAAAAGTTTATGGACTTGAATTCGGTGAAAAGGAACTTACTTCATTTTTCAGA